TTTTAAGGCTCCTACTTCTGGAATCAATGGTCCTTTCCTTGGATACAGGGTATTTTGCACATCAGGAAATGAGAGACATGAAAATACTTCTCAACAAACAAGTCACACGTTCAGAGGTCTGAGACAGGGGACAGTGTACAACGTCACAGTGGTCATACGTAACGATAGTGGAGATGGTCCTATCAATGGTTATGTGCGTATTCAAACATTACAAGATGGTGAGTTGCTTGAGATAAGGCTACATATGAATCTGCACTGCATATTATCGACTCTTTTATGCAAGTGTCTATATGCACCTTCACTAACAATATCACAAATGATTACACAGACGTTATTAGTCGGGCTACCTTTGGTAGGCCGACTGTAGGTTTACCTTTTCTATCTTCACGTCGCGAATGTGCCATGAAAACGAGGCAACCACGTGATTAAATGACATCATAAACCTAAGAGCCACGGGGTTAAGGAAACCATATCATGCTTTCTTCGTTTCAATTTACCTTCCATTAGCAGCGACCACGTACTGGTTTTCTAGAATTTGACACTTATGGCGAGTACCTTTCCTTCTGTGGCGCTCCAAGTACATAAACGCCTACACGCCGTTCGCGGTAGACCCACACTAAAAGTTGTCGAGCGTCAGTTTCGAAACGAGTCGTTCAGCGAACTTAAAAGCAAAACTATGTACTCAAACGAAACCCAAATAAACTCAAATCTACCGAAATTATCAGAGGTTATTCAGAGGGACTTGACTCTTAACCGTTTAGTAAGCAGGGGCTTTGCTGGCTACTCTGAAGATGAGAGAGACAGAGAAAATATCTCCACCGCCAACAACGATATGGGCGCCATATTGGAATTCTTCAACTTATTAAATAAACATCGAAGAAGCCTTGCACTTAATATACTAGCGATAACTTTGCTATGTATTATTTCGTTTTCGTTTATAATGTTGAATAGTGTGTGGTTTGTTCAAATTTGCATCATAACGAGCGTGTTAATAGTTGTTTTGTACATATACGTGGCTCTGTTTGTACACCAGTTCATAATAACAACAAAGACTATGATAGATTCTATAGAAAATGACTGTGATGAATGGTACCTTAGGGGATTTTTTTGTAATTTTATGAGCACATATTTTCCCCCAATCATTTACAGAATACAGAATACACCTACATTCAATCGATCATCAGTTTTGACTGCCAAATAAATTTCTATCGTTCGTTCGTTCGTTCGTCGATCATCAGTTTTGACTGCCAAATAAATTTCTATCCATGGATGCTATCATCCACAATACATATACTAGTTATTCTCCCACATGTAGCCCGACTACACACTCTTAGAGTGTCTAGTTTTGTTTAAAACGATTTTATAGCAAATACCTTGAGGCTTGGCTTAAAATGATAATTTTACTGCCAAAAGTTGAATTCTTACCTTTATAAAGCATCTTAATTGAGATCAATAACACTTAAAAAGTGATCAATTGATGCTTTAATACAAGGGAAACAGATAAACCAATCTTGTGGTATTTTTCATTGATATGATGTATACTGAATTACGGCGGAGTATCACATATTAAAAAAAGAATACACAAGTAATGGTGCAGGACCTTCCAGAGATGTGTGAAATCCCTGGAAACCTTTGGTTGAATTATTTCGAGATATTCCCAGTCCCCAATATTTTTTTTTTCTTGTTAGCTTATTGATTTTAGCAACATTTGTGCTTTAACCCGTCCATCTATCCATCAGTACCATCCTCCCGATATTTTATTCTCAAATCAATCCCTGGCCATACAATCAAATCCTATTCTTTCCCATCCTATACTATCCCTTCATATCCTATTCCATAATCTGCAACATTGCATTCTTTTAGCTAGACAGCCAAACACATTTGAATGTTTCTCTGAATGTTTCCGTTCTCTCTCGTCTTCCCTCTGTCACCCAATCAAAATGAGCAAATTTACTTATTTTATTTAATATTTCTGTGGGTGAGTTTTTATTTTCATTTCAGGTGCACGCCCGTGGTAAATCTTACATCCTGACAAAAACGAAAGGAGAAGTTTTGTTAACATGACTAAAACATCATTTTTCTACAGTAGGAACTTATGGATAAATCGAATCACCGCAAGAAGCTTTGTTAAGCTGACGTTTCGGACGTTAGTCCTTCGTCGGAGTAAGAGAGTACCTTAATACTCCTATTTCGAGTTCGCCTTTGCTCAGTCTTATTAGCCTGGATTGGTTACAAATGTATTCTTTTCCTTTATTAAGGTCCATTGTATAGTAAGGAATGTACGCACTACGGAACAATACGAGTTAATTAAAATGCCACGTTGTTGATTTTGGATTTTTATTTATTTATTATTTATTGAATTATAGGGTCAACTTCTGGTAAGCATCCGGAGAAGAACACAGCTTAAGTAAGTATTTTGACGACTGTAATATCTCTGTAACAATTGTGCAAAGTCATCAGTGACGTAGGAATTACTATTTCCTGTCTTGTATTTGTTAAAAACAGAGTTAATAAATGCTAAAATATGTTCTCAGTATTTTGATTTTTTTCAGAATTGTAAGTTTTTGTTATTGGTTTGGCGTTCAACGTAGCTTTCTTGGTTCTTATTGGCCTGATCGTAGTGCACAACAGAAACTAAATACAAAACTCGGCAAGTAAATCAAATTTAATATTACATGGTTGAGACTAGATAAATAAGTTAATCGCGTCGGTGTTTGGAATCGAACAGTAGGAGAATTGATTTAACTTAATACACCGTACTGGGTTTGTGATGTTTAGAAACTGACGTTTCGGACGTTAGTCCTTCGTCGGATTTTACTCCGACGAAGGACTAACGTCCGGAACGTTAAAATTACATGGCTGTGTATACATGTTCTTTCGTCTTTAAATGCCGAATAGATAAAAGATCTTCGTATAGATACCCTATCGTATAGATATCTTCCAGATATTGCTGGCGTTGGAAAAGGATACTGAATTGGTGCAATATGAGAATGAAGAATACATCTGGCCCCATCCGTAGACATCCGCAGAGCTGAGGCGGCGTATGGACTTCGGACCTGACGGCGATTAAATCGTTCTGCCCTTGGATGTACGAATTACGCAAGAAAATGTTCTAGCCGAAGCATCAGGGGAGAGACCAGCCGGCCCCCAGACCATTAACGGCTAATCCCATGCATCTCTGCCACGCACGGAATATAATGTTAAAAAGTCTAGTCTACTCGGTGCATTGTTTTCACGGCTATTGTTATGCTGTTTACCTGGAACCGTGGTCCATAGTCAATTTACCTCTTTCTACGAAAACCTTTGGTATTTGTCCGCTAGACCTCCCGTACGAGAGACCAATTCACAACCAGCTCAAGCAAACACTATGAACTAAAAATAGGCCCTTTGAGTTAACGGTCACGTGACTTTACTGGTGAGCAAATTTTTTAAAAATTGGTGATTCTTTTTAATAGCTACTTGTAAAGAACTGAATGAAACGATATGTAACCAGTGTGTCACGAAATGCAGTTTTATTACGATCTCTCAAAACAGGTTGTAGAAAGTGTGTTTGCCATCAGTGAATTAATCACCACGTGATTACTGAGCTGCAAAGGGCCTATGAGTTATTGATAAGTGACCTTTTCTTACGTTTTGGGTGCGCGTGGGAGAATGCTAAGCTCAACTGAGAAGAAGCGTGCAAGAGTAGCACAACAATTGGTAGCCGAGTGCAATACTATTTTCTAGAGCGCTTAGTAACTAACCATGAAAGTGTACCCAAAACTCGATCGCTGGAAGTACGCTAATCTGTGACAGGTTACTTTGATTTCCACGGTTTATTAAAGGAAACAGCAGTAACGGCCTAGAATTATGCAATGAGTTGGAGCTTGTACTAATGACAGATTACAAATAAAACTTACCCTGTGGTGGTTAAGTCTTGCTATTGTATTACAAAAATATGCTACTCTTGAAATCGAAAGCGGGCGAACAAACATGGCGGCTCTTGTCACTAGTGGCCTGACTAGTGCCAGTGAACACGATTAGGGCGGTACAGGGATCCCGAAGTTACCACTTCTCTCAAATCAATGATCAATTCCTTTTTATAAGGTAGTATAGTAAAGCGTTTCTATTCTTTGTCTATTATTACTATACAGCTAGCAAATAACTCTAGTTTTTAGCTACTCTATATTTTATATCAAAGCTATGAAATAAGACTTTTCGTTGTCATCTCGATAAGATATCACCAGATCAGGTATTTGGCCAGGTCGGGTCAGTTAGTTATTTGGTCTGGTGTTTCGGTAGTTTTCGTATTAAATTTCTTATGCCATCTTTATATTTTACAATACTTTCTTTAAAAGCTTTGTTTTTAACCGTCGTCTAAATCGACCTCCACACATTCCCACCCTTTCTATCAAAATAGCGGCCTTTTAATACGACCTAACTAAAGTTTTAACTTTGTGATTACAATATAAATTATCTGTACATATAATGCGAATTCAAAACATGTGCATTGACAATGGCGCTTAATATATTATACGGAGATTATTAAATTATTAAATTGTTCAAGAAAAAAACACAATGCTTTTAAGTTAATACACATATAATTAATACTGATCACAGTGTCTCAGCAGATCGTCTGTCATGAAAAAATATTTAATTTATATTTGGTGTTTATTTTTGAAATATTTTGGTAGTCTGAAAACAAAGAATACTTTCCAAAGCGTTTTTTTAAAAATCATTATGAACAATCTTTGGAAATTTATAACAACGAAGCTGTAATCCGCTTGCTAGAGTTAAATAATAAGATTAAAAAAAAAAAAAAAAAAAAAAAAAAAAAAAAAA